TCTGCCACTATTTGATAACCATAACACTTAACACTACTTCCTTATCTCTCACACAGCTGCATTCTTAGCATGCTCAAACTACTATTTCTTTGTCAATAATAACATATTTTATCCCTCTCTCACATCTACTACCATGATGTCTGCTTGATTGGCCAGTACCTGCCTGTCCGTCTGGATCTGGAAGTCCCCCAGGAACTTAGTCCTGTTATTCTCCACGACCTGTGGAATCTCCCATCTGGACTTGGGAGGGTCCAGCCCATGCACTGTGTAGATGTTCCTACACACAATGCCAGTTACTTGGTTGTGCTGTTCAGTGTATGCTCTTCCTGCCTGCATCTTACACACTCTGCCACCATGTGTTGGACTGTCTCCGAGGCCTCTCTGCAGAGTCTGCACCTTGGGTCCTGTCTAGTGTGGTAGATCCCCTGCTTCTATGGATCTGGTGTTTAGCGCCTGTTCTTGTGCTGCTATGATCAGTGCCTCAGTGGTGTCTTTTAGTCCAGCCCTTTCCAGCCACTGGTAGGATTTCCCAATGTCAGCCGCCTCAGCTATCTATTGATGGTACATCCCATTAAGGGTCTTGTCTTGTCGTGACACTTCCTCTGCTTGAACTTCCTCCCATGTCTGCTGCTGCCTGAGGCATTCTCTCAGCAGCTCATCTTTGGGTGCCATCTTAGTGATGTACTCCTGGATGCTCTGAGTTTCATCCAGAACAGTGGCTTTGACAATCACCAGACCCCGCCCACCCTCTTTCCAGCTGGGGTACAGTCTCTGGGTGTTGGACTTGGGATTGAAACCTCCATACATTGTGAGGAGCTTCCGGGTCTTTATATTGGCAGCCTTCATGTCCTCCTTCGGCCAGCTCAGTATACTGGCAGGGTATCTGATGACTGGCAGGGTGTACATGCTGATGGTGTGGATCTTGTTCTTCCCATTGAGCTGGCTCTTCAGGACCTGCCTTATCCTTTGGTTGTACATGCTGATGGTGTGGATCTTGTTCTTCCCATTGAGCTGGCTCTTCAGGACCTGCCTTATCCTTTGGTTGTACATGCTGATGGTGTGGATCTTGTTCTTCCCATTGAGCTGGCTCTTCAGGACCTGCCTTATCCTTTGGTGGTACTTGGATGTTGCTGTCTTCCTTGCCTCCTCATCATGGTTCCCATGTGACTATGGAATACCAAGGTACTTGTAGCTGGTCAGTATGTTTGCTATGTGGGCTCCTGGTAGGTCCACCCCATCGGTCTTAACTACCTTCCCTCTCTTTACTGCCATCCGGCCACACTTCTTCATCCAAATGATATACGTTATGTATCTGTTATATATAAAACAGTATACAGCTGACTGGAAGAGCAGAGTATTCGAAACAAGACTAAAATAAAACAGGGAAAAGGATAAAAAGGGGCTGCACAGTCACCCAGTCCCCAAGGCCTGAGAGAACAACCAGGTCTTCAAAAGTTTCCTGAATGACATAAGGGTGGAAGCTATACAAATCTCTGGAGGCAGTTTATTCCAGAGGGCAGTAATTGCAACAGGGTAGGCATGCTTCCTGGGTCCCGCAAGATTGCGTTCATTAATTGATGGGATCTGAAGGGGGCCTAATCTGCTGGACCATACTGGATGGGCAGAGACAATATCTGCAGTCCCTCAGATATATAGGATAAGTGATTTTTCAAAAGTCAGGAAGAAAATAAAAGAACACCCCCCCAAATTTTAACACAGAGCCCAGTTTATTATTTTAGGACCAAATAATCCCATCTAATTTTAGAGCCCAACCCACAATTGTGAAGGTTCTGTGGTGCCTGGCAATGAAAATATCAATTTTAGAATGTTCTATGAATGAATTTGGAAAGCCACCAAAAAATCAACTGTGTTAAGGATTCTTAAATGGAGCTTTGTGATAATTTAATCTTTTCTTCTCCCCTATGATTGATGCAATTATATAAAATGCATTTAATACTGTAGTGGTGTTGCAAACATATCTAACCTTTGCATTTTCAGTCATGTACTTTTGTGCCCCTCCCCCAACATTTAAAAGGGATAAAGCTGACAGTCTATTAAGCTAACATTCCTTCTGTACTGAAAATCCCATTGAGAACTGTAAAGGCAGCATGATATTATGTCATCAGTTTTTCAGCCAAACATTTCCCCCCAGGTCTCTAATCATGGTTGTATATCACAATATGGCTGAAATAGTAGAATAGGAGAAGATAAGTTTTAAAACAATGCCTGGAGGCAGGTATCGGAAACAAGATGGTAAATGTTTATTAATTATTTATTTATTTTACAATATTTGTAAGCCATTGCAATCAAAAAGATGGGGGGAGAAAAAAGGACAATACTTCAGTAACTAAAATTCCATCCCCACCCCTCTCCACTTCACATGTAAAAGCAAGAAGACATTGCTTAGCCTTGCTCCTGTCTCTGGAGGAGTTTCTCTCTAAAAAATGAAAAAGCACCATGATGTTTCATGCAGTGCTGCAGACCAGGGGGCAACAGACAGAGTCTTGTCGATTTCACCTCAGCTTCCTTGCATAGGCTTCCCTGCAAAAATAGTTGCAAGAACACACTGCTTCAAAACAGTTCAGATCAATCCTGTGTTTTGGTATAGTAGTATGCATTTGTCTGGTACATGCAAGAACATCTGAGCAGTTGCTCTGAAGTGGATCTCTAAAGGCAATAAGGTACCTTTTCCCTATTAGAACCTGAGAACAAAATCCAGTGTCAGCTGAAGCCTGGAAGCTGGGAGACAGTGATGCAAGAGTTCCTGCCAAGGGCAAAACCATCCTCCCACAAGTTCTGCTGAACTGCACACAGAAAGATTGCTTTTTTCCCCTGTTTGGTACATTGCAGCTGAACCAAGAAATTAACTCAGCTGTTGAACAGATGATGGCAAGTGAATCCAGAGGTGCAGCGCTAATTCCAAGAGCTCCTGCGCAAGTATTTTCAGTTAAAGCTTCATTACAGTACTGCTTCCAGGTGCATTATTTTATTAATTTGTAACTGTTATATCCCACTCTTCCTCCAAAGAGCTATACATTGGATCATCTCATATTCTCCTCACAACCATGCTGTATGGGAGACAAGACTAAGATATACAGTCTTACTCAAGGCATTCCAGTGAATATCATATTTGAACTTAAATTCAGTTAAGAAGTTAATTTACTTAGCAACAAAGTGCCGCCCAGTTGATCCTTGTGTCTAGCAGCAACAAAATAAGGCAAATACTGCAAATCCTTGTAGCTGGGTATTATCTACGGCTAAGCTCTGCACTATTGCCAGTTACAGTTTCAAGAAGGCAAGAAAGTGACAAGTAGTTCTTAAGATAGAGGCTGCTGTGATTTGATTTATATTGCCTTATGAATATTCTAATAGATTTGGTGTGTCACATGCTATTCAATTGGCATTCTCAGAATCTTTCCAGGCAAGTAGAGAAGCTATTACTACTTTCTGCAAGCTCT